TACATAATGTTTTGGAAGTACTAATTTTGTAAACACTTTTATTAGTCAAAAGGTTGTTTTGAAAATTTCAAAATTGTATGAATTTTCGGGATGTTACACTGAAAATATTGAGGCTTTAGATATAATTATTATGAATGATGATGGTTTGGCTTTAGATAGAGAATAATGGTTACTTTCTTAAAGGATATGGTAGAGATGGATCACCTTTCGTATATTGAAGTGGCTCAAAAAGCCAAGGCTCATTGGAGCATCAAGGGTGATGAGAATTCAGGTTTCTTTCATGGCACTCTTACTCATAAGTGACGTCAGCTAGCTATCCAAGGTTTTTTTATTGATAGGGTGTGGGTGGATGAGCCAGATAGAGTTAAGGACGAGTCCCATAGTTATTATGAGTGTCTCTTCTCCCAATAGATTTAGTGGCGACCTAAGACGGAGTCTCGTCTTTTTAGTACTCTTTCTGAGGCTCAAGTTCATCTTATAGAGGCTTATTTCGCTCATGAGGAAATCAAAAGAGCTGTTCAGGATTGTGGTTCGACGAAGGCCCCAGTACCTGATGGTTTTACTTTTTGGTTTCCTTAAGAGATATTGGGATCTAGTTGTAGATGATGTGGCGGATTTTGTTTCGCATCTTTATCAACACTCCTCCATTCCTAAGGGGTGTAATGCTTCTTTTTTTACCGTGATCCCGAAAGTTAGTGACCCGAAGACTCCCTTGGACTTTCGACCTATTAGTTACATTGGATGCCAATATAAAATTATTTGAAAACTTTTGGCTAATAGGTTAGTGGGGATTATTGATAGTTTTGTTAGTTCGGAGCAATCGACCTTTATTAAAGGAAGACATATTTTGGACGGTCCTTTTCTCCTTAATGAGGTGGTGGCTTGGAGTAAGGCTTTGGAAATCTACTGATGATGTTTAAGGTGGATTTTTGAGAAAGCCTATGATTCTTTATCTTAGGGTTATCTTCTTGAGATTATGCAGATGATGGGATATGTTTATTTATGGTGCGTTTGGATTTTGGAGCTTTTAAGATCTGCTAGAGCTACAATGTTGGTCAATGGTTCTCCTACTGCTGAGTTTCAGATTTAGAGAGGTCTGACACAGGGGATTCTCTTTATCTTTTTTATTTATTCTCGCAATGTAGGGCCTTATTGTTGCTTTGAGTAGATATCACGAGGTCAATAGTTTCACGGGGAGTTATGTTTCTGGGATTGAGATATCTCATCTTCTTTACGTTGATGATGTCATGATTTTAGCTGGCTAGGATGTAGAGAATGCAAATCATATTCTACGTATCCTTAGAAGTTTTTATATGGATTTGGGTCTAAGAATCAATTTACATATAAGTTAATTGATTGGAGTTGTGGTTTCGTATAACCAGGTTGAGGAAGTTGCTGAAAGGATTTGGTGTGCTCCAACGATTCCCCCTTTCTTACATCTTGGTATTTGGGTTGGTCAAAGTATGTTACGAACTACAGCTTGGAATCCAATGGTCGATCGTTTCTGGAGTAGGTTGTCAGGGTGGAAGGCCAAGAGTCTATCTATTGGAGGTCGTTTAACTCTCGGTAAGTCCGTTTAGGCTATATCGAGAGTTACTTGATGTCTATGTTTGTGACCCTGCTTTTTGTTATTTCTTCCTTGGAGGACTTGAGGGCTAACTTCTTTTGAGGTGCAGATTTAGATGAGAGACATATGCATTGGGTTAGATGGGATAGAGTTCTTGCTTCTAGAAAAGATGGGGGGTTGGGTGTTGGGATTTTGTTCTCTTTTAACAGGGCCATGCTCTTTCGTTGGTGGTGGAGATTCTATCGTTGTCCTAATCTATTGTGGGTTCGATTGATCAAAGTTATTTATGGTACAAATGTTTGTTCACGACTTGTGGATAGGTGATTCGACCCTTGCAGCTCTTTTTCAAAGAGTTTATGCTCTTGATAATCATAGATTTTCTACAGTTAGTGAGCGGGTGTCCATTGATTGGGATCTGGAGAACCTCAGACGCATTCCTAGAAGTGGTGTTGAGCAGATGTAGTGGGATAATTTATCTTTCATGTTGCAAGGTCTTTAGTTGGAGTCTCATCCACATAGATTGGGATGGATTCCTGACGTGACGGATATTTTTTTAGTTTCTTCAGCCAGATCATATCTAGACGATGGTATGTTGTTTTCGGGAGGTACAAAGACTTGGTTGAATAATTAGGTTCCCATTAAACTCTATTCTTATTTGGAGAATTCGGATTCAATTTATCCCCACTAGCGAGAGACTGTATCATAGAGGTATCATGGTGAAATCGATCTTATGCCAGGTTTGCTCCCTTACTGTCGATTTGGTGGATCATCTCTTTGCGAGATGTAATGAGTTGGTTGATATTTGGACGCGTATTGTTATTTGGTGAGATATACAGTCAGTGCATTCTCTCCTTTTTTGGCCAAACTAGAATGACTTGAGGGATGACCAACGAAAGACTTTAGAAGCGGTGATTTTTACTACATTTTGGTATTTGTGGAATTTTCACAATTACATCATTTTCGACACAGTTATTCCTAGAAAATCCAGTATTTTTGATGATATTGTTCATAGGGCATTCTTTTGGATTTTGAATGTGTAACAAAATAAAGTTAGGATGGTTTGTTTGGTTTCATAATCATACTTCTGCTATGTTTTTGATATAATAGTTCTTTTCTAGCTCCTTTTTAGTTTTTAATAAAATATAGCCGTTTAAAAAAATAACTAAAGATTTATAAGTGTTACCACCCGGGATTATTGTACAAGTCAGTTTAGTTATTAGCCCAAGCGATAATAGAAAAAAGACCCATCAACAACAAACACATAATTATTAAACATGAGTTTGCATTTCTTTTCTTATCTTTATAACATATCCCCTTTTTTCGTACAAGTTGCTTTTAGTTTACAACTAAAAGTTTGATTTTCTCATTGAACATGAGTTTGTATTTCTTTCCTTATCTTTATAACATATAATAATAACAAAAAAAAATCATCAAACTTATCCAGCTAACATTTGTCGATAAAGTAAGAATGTGAAAGTAGAATATCATCTAATATTCTTATCTACTTTACATAAAATATTACAATATCATCTTATCTACTTTACATAAAGTATTCTAGGATCGGCCCATCTTTTGTCTATCACGTTTTTATGTTGACATAATTCATGACATTTTAAGAAAACTCCGGTTTTAAAAAATCCTGAGTTGCAAATTTGCAATTGCTAAGGTAATATAAGATTATGATAAGCCCACAGCTAGTTATCAATTTTCAATTATGCATTTATGCCTTGATCGATAAATAAGCATATTAAATGTATCAACTATATAGAGAAAACCACTAATATGTCTAAAATTGCATCATAAAATCTACATCCAAAATGTTTTTGTGATAAAATGCCATGTAATTATTGTTGATGACATAAATGTAGTCGGTGTTGCAAGACGTCCCAAAAGCAATCTATTTGAACAAACCCATCAACAACAAACACATAATTATTAATTATGGGTTGTAGCTATCATAACCACCCTCCAATAACATCATACCCCCACCTCACCACACGTGTATTCATTTCATTTCATCATAATAAAATAAAAAATAAAAAATTTATATATAATCCAACTTTACAATAAATTGATAAAAATTTGTGCTAATGCATATAATGCAATTTATTTTATTATTGACCGTATTCAATACTTGTTCTATTATTAAACTTGTTATATTAAATGTTGCGGGCAAATTCAAAGTTGATTCATATACAATAATTTATGTTATATTATATAATTCTATAAAACATAAATTGGTTTGTAAGTAGAAAAATTAATGTATAAGAATCACTTCCCTTATCTAAATATAATGAGAACAAAAAAAAAGGGGGAAATACAAAACTAGCCATTTTTCCTAATTACTTATCAAAAAATAGTCATAAAAACCCACTTAGCCAAAAATAGTCCACAAAAGAGTAGTCAATTTTTGGTTGACTACGGTCAAATGAGGTTGACTACCGTCAACGCCCGTTGACTACTCTTTTCCCCTAATGAGCTATTGTTTCAAGGGGCCGTTTACTCTTTCGTGGCCCATTAGCCCAAAGTATATAATGAATTTTTTTTCAGATTGGGTCATTTTTCCTATTGTTTTCTTTTGTTTGGCTACGTTTTTCTCTCAATGGAACACCCGAAGAACAACCAGGTATGTCTACTTTTCTTAAAAATTTTACCGTGTTTGTGATTAGGAGTACGTTTTGTTTATGGCGATAAATTTTTTTTTGAAAAAAATTGAAAGAAAAAAATAGAAAACCGTAGGTTTCATATGAAACCTACGGTGTACAAGTACCCGATGCACTGTTTGTGCAGTGTGGACTTGTACACCGTAGGTTTCATATGAAATCGTACGGACGGTTTTTTTTTTCGATTTTTTTTTAAAAAAATGGTATCAATAGAATCGGAATTTGATGTATTTTGTTGTGGTATAATTTTTTTTTAAAAAAAAAAAAGTGGAAACTGTAGGTTTTTTAAAAACCTACAGTGTACAAGTATTTACTGCACAGTTTGTGCAGTAAACACTTGTACACCGTAGGTTTCACAAAAAAACCGTTTTTTTTTTAAATAAAAAAAATTTAATAGCCAATAAACATTTGTATCCTCTTGTATGTATCTTAGAATAAAAAAAAAACATAACTTTTTTTGAGAAAACCGTAGACTACGGTTTGGAAAACCGTAGGTTTCGAGAGGAAACCGTAGGTTTTAAAAAACGTCAAAAATGAAAAAAAAAATTATACAAAACAGGAAACAGTAGACGAAAAGGCGAAACAGCAGGCGAATCTCGAAACCTACGGTTTCGTGGGCTATTTTTGGCCATTTGCTAATTTTTGGCTAAAATTTGATAATTACCCGCTTAATTTGGCTAGATTAGTAATTACCCCAAAAAAAAAATTGAAGATCTAATGAATATGATTAAAGATAACTTAGGTAGAGATTAAAGTACTTACCAATTTACGACATTAACCCCAAAAATATGTACCAAACTAAAACATAACCAAGTAAAAACACATTAGTAGATTGCATAAATAAGTCATTAACCCTTAAATAAATAAATAAAAAACCAGATAGTCAAATCCAAATTCAAAACCTAACAGAAACATCGACTACACCAACGCGATACTGCTCTCACCGCCAGGTGGCTTCCGAACACCGCCTAAATAGTCTCTCGACTCCGCTTTCCCGTCCGCAAAAATATTACTCCCGCTCATTTCCCGTAGCTTCGCGGAACTCAACGGCTTCTCCACCGATGCTGACGTGTCATCTCCTTTAAAAATATTGTTTCCAGAAAGTTCCGTCAGTTTCTGATTCGGAATCTTCTTCGCTGTCTTCACCACACATTCTCCCCCGTTACTCTGACAAACATAACAACCACATCACAGATAATTTTTTTAAACATCATTTATCCAGACAGATTCACAGATACAGACAGTATTATATTATATCCTGACCGGGAAAAAGTGAAAGTATGTATGTACATTATGTGGAGTGGATTCTCCGATGGTTATGGATTCTCGGAGAGCTAAAGCTCGGGCAGCTAACGGGCGGGGTTGGATTTCGGGCGGGGGGTGCGAATATATTATGTCCACTAAGTTCTTTGTTTTTTAGATCTGAAATTTGTTTCTTCAACCTTGCTTCTGATTCACTCTCTAATGTTCCACTTAGTTCTCGTTGTTTAGCTTGGGATATTGATTTTTTAGGAGATGCTGTTTCTTCTTCCCCAAATGAAATGTGACTCATTCCAACAACCGCTTGCTGATCAATAGATATATTATATAAATTAGAACAAAATTTGTGTAATTTCAAAAATGGTGAAAACTGACAAGGTGAAAATTAAATCGATGGTTTGCTTAAAAGTTGATACCTGATACATGCGTATGCTAGTTGGATTAGATGGGGTGTGGGTTGCAGAATCGGTTTCTTCTACACCATTTTCTCCGTTGCTTGCAAATATACCACTTCCGGTGATCTCTTTTTAATTTGTAGCCGGAAACTGGTTTCCTGGAAATCATTACACAGATTCCGATTAACAACAAATATCTTGATTAAGATCTGTTAACAATACTTCGTATACAAAAAAAAAAGTATGATTCGTCACTGTTTTTGAAGAAACTCGCATTTCGAAAAACACTGTATGATTTGGGGAAAAGGATTAGAGAAAAGTTTCGCTTTCTGATCATACAATTGTTAATTAAAAATTCAAACCTCGTATTTCAAATTTCAAACTTTAGTTAGCTCAAAAAAAATCTATCTACTTTTTATTAATTTGCGCCTTAAATCCATGATTATTTGTTTGTATATTTTATTTCTGGATCTTTAGTTTGAATTTAAGATTAAATAAATGGACTCCGATAATGATATGTAGTAAGCAATTTTCAAAGGAAACATCAGTAATTTGTTTATTAACAACGATTAGAAACTAGAAAAAAAAAATAACAAGATATATGTAGAAATTGAACATCATATTGCATACAAATTTATTTATGAATAGAATGGATAGATCTCAAACCTTTTGTTCAAGCTCTCAACTTCTTCATCGGTAACCTGACCTCCAAACACAACCTTACTGATCCCATCCGATGGCTGCGATTCATTTCATCAAACAAACAAAACTTCAAAAACAAATAAGAAAAATTGAAAATTAACGAAAAATAAAAACATTGTTATTAGACTTCTCTCTGTCGTTACCTGGTGAGAACGGGCGGAGGATCGAGCGGCGGAGCCGGTCATCGGTGAATCAGCTGGAGGATTTTCCGACCAGGTCAACAGATCTGCCGTCGAAGTGTGAGGCTTCCTCACCGGCGTGTTCCTCTCCATTTTTCCGATTTCGAGAATGTTCGAACGGGAAGATCTATCTACTCCCTTGAAACGACGGCGTTTTATCAGCTACGATTTCAAATGGCTACTGTCTACTGAGCTGCCCTGCTTTTAAAAACCGTACCAGTAGAATCAAACGCTTTCTCTCTCTAAACTTCACCTGTTCTTATCTTATATACTCGTATAATTACATTATTGGTCCCTCAAGTAATATGACAAGTCTTAAATTTCAAAAACAAATAATTAAATTTGATAGTCTTTGAAATTTGTTTTTTTTAGAGAGTATGGAATTACATATATCATTATTTCTTAACTCACGCTGTTAGAAAAAAAAAGAAAAAACCCTCTGAATTTGCAGGTTTTTGTCCTCCATTTCTTTAATTTTAATTAAGCACAAAAGCTCCGCCATGTCATTCGAAAATTTCTTTAATTTTAATTAAGCACAAAGCTACGCCATGTCATCCAGAAATACCTAATCAGCGTCCACATGGCACGCGATGTGTGTGTGCGACCGGGTTGGCAACCGGCTTAACTCTTAAAAGGATAAAAATGGCAAAATCTACCAAAATATCAGAGCATTAACGGACATAAAATCCAAATTTGGATAAAACCGATAAAAACCTCCAAACTTAAGGGTTTTTATGACATTAACCCTTGAAAAGAAACTACATCAAATTATTGACATGAAATGGTAAAGTGGTTTGTTTTAAGAAAATAATCTATAGATAACTATAACCAACTTTTCCTTATTATAATACATTTAGGGATTTCTTACAATTAGAATATGAAATGGTTAGATCAGTTTTGCAAAATCTAGTTTTCATATTTAATTGGTTTTGGATCGGATCTGATTACTATGAGATATTTGGTTTCGTTGGGCACCTTCATATCAATAGGTCGTTGTAGTGATCCTTGTAATATGCTAATAAATTTTAGACAAAATTACATAAATGGTCCTTGTGGTTGATATAATAGACCAACTTTAGTCCTTATGATGAATTGTTTGTATAGATGGTCCTTGTGGTTTCAAAATGTTGCAAAGACGGTCATTTTGGCTAACGGTGTTAAAATTTTCAGTTATGTCCTTTGTGAAATGACACATTGTAACACCCAGAAACCAGAAGGTTAGTTAAGGAAAGTTGATAAACAAATTGAAGGTCTACTCGTCGAGTCCATAGGGGATAACTCGACGAGTAGGAAATTAGTTTTGGTCGCGGGTGGAGAGACCTACTCGGCGGGTTGGGGAGGACCAACTCGAAGAGTTGGTCTGGGTTTGGGAACCCTAGATGCGGGGTTTTGCACCCTATTTAAGCATCTTAATCCCCACCCCTCAGCCTCATTTACAGCCTTCAAGTCTCAAACCCTAATCCACGAAACCCTAGTGCTTTGTTTGAGGTCGTGAGCCATTTTGAGTGATCCTCGTGTACTTTTGAAGCTTGTGGAAAAAGAGGAAGCTAGAGGGCTCAAGAGGGACAGAGTAGATCCAAAAACTACACATCATTTACTACATTTTCGGGTAAGCAAGCCCCAACCTTGCTCAATGGTTTCTTAGATCTCTTCTTTTCATTTTTATGAGGGTTTTTGGTCCAAGTATGTTAGCATGTGGAGAATGGACGACCCAAGTGGGTATTCTTCCAGATCTGGGACTTTGAAGGGCTATTATGGCATAAAGGTGCAAACTTTATGCCATAGGAGCCCCCATGCAAGCTCTAAGATTCCATCTTGGCCTTTTAAGCCAAAAAGTCCATACATGGAGGACAAAGGCCTTTTAAGCCAAAAAGTCCATGCTTAGAGTATAGATCTCAGTGAATGTGCCTTAGTTTGAAGTATTGGTAGCTTGTGGACCAAGATCTAGGTCTTAAGGAGTTAGGGATTGAGCCACAACCGTTATATGAGGGTATTAACGGGTAAAGTTGGAAACTTTACCCTTAAAAGGACGTATTCGAGGTACAAGTGAAGTATGGAGCTTAGATTTGAAGGTTAGGGGCTTAATCCATTGAGATGAAGCCACAGACAGAAGAACTCAATGAGTTCATGGGGGAACTCGACGAGTCAGTTTGGTTTGTCCCGATTCTATATAAGGTAGAACTCGACGAGTCTGTGAAGGGACTCGACGAGTTGACACGTTCTGTCACATATACGAGTAGCATGGGAACTCGACGAGTCAGGGGGATGACTCGACGAGTTGAGTCAACTCAGGGTTAACTTTGACTTTGACCAATGTTGACCTAGTTTGACTTTTGAAGGCTTTTGGACAAGAGTATGTGAGGGGTGGAATGTTCTTCTACCCCGGTGAGGACTTATGGTAAGTTATAAGAATCCCGGACTTATCTAAGTTGTATGATGATCGGTAGCTTGAGGAGTCGAGAGATCAGCAGTTCGGGGATCTGCCAGCTAGCAGCAAGAGGTTAATTCGTGGGATTCGGCAGTCAGCTTGTGAGGTGAGTCTCCTCACTGTTTGAATGGGTCTACGGCCACAATGCTGGCCCATTTAGTTTATGTATGGTAGGAAGACCCGGGGGTTAGCCCTAGGCATTGTATGATAGTATGTTATTCCGGACCAAGGTCCGATGTCGGGCGGTGCCCGGGGAATGTTTGCATATTATATTATTCTTGTTGTCTGTGTGATACTTGTATGTACATGGTAGGGAGGTGAGTGTGGATGAGGTCTCGTATCTCATCACTAGCTGAGTGTGGACGGGGTTCCACATTTCATCATTAGCATAGCAGGGGCGGGGCCTGTGATAGGAGAGAAGTGAGTGTGGGCGGGGGCCCGTATCTCACTATCAGCAGGAGTGTGGACGGGGTTCCATGATTCACCAGTAGCAGAATAGGGGCGGGGCCCAAGTTAGGCAAGGCCTTAGGACAAGAAATACATTTAGAGTATGTTTTCTTTATGTGTTAGTATGATTATATGATATTGTTATATGCGTATAGCGGGCGGGGCACAGAGACAGGCGGGGCCTAAGAGAAACAGATATGTATACCGAGCGGGGCTCGATGCCAGGCAGGGCCTGATGCCGGACACCGTCCGATGCCGGGCGGGGCCCGAAGTAGGGGCGGGGGACCAGTATGTGTGATTATGTGTATGATATGTGGTAGGTTGGGGAACTCACTAAGCTTCGTGCTTATGGTTTTCAGTTTTGGTTTCAGGTATTCATAGTTGCAGAGAGAAGTGCTCGGGATGACTGCATTGCAAATACCAAGATGTTTTAGCCTGGGATGTTTACTCTGATGTTTTGATACTATGATAATAATCTTTGAGATATTTTGACTATGATTTGATGAAATGATTTGATAACTATGGTTTTATTTAATGATTTAAAATGAAGTTTTTGGTCATGATTTTTGGGATGTTTCACACATTTACCCTTCCTGTCATAGTGACCGTTTATGTGATTTGTTCAAGCCATAGGGACCATTTATGTAATTTTTTCTATTATTTATTATCTTTATATTTTATTTATTTATATTTTTTTCTGAATTAATTTTTTTTGACATTTTTTCCGAATATAATGTTTAATTTTTTATTTTTTTCCGCTTATATTTTTTTTGACTTTTTTATTCAAATAATTTTTTTAAACTTTTTGACGCTTTATTCGAATACATGTATTAATGTTATTTTTATGTTTTGTTTGAATAATTTTTTTTGATGTTTTGTTCGAATACATTTTTAATATATATATTTTTACGTTTTATATTTTTTATAGGGATATTGAGTAATCTAACCATTTTTGTGTTGTAATTTTTTTTAAAATAACCATTTTTTTTTGAAAAATAATCACTTAGTTTGGAATTCATACATTTTAGGCCATCCTATTAAATGGGTTAGATTTGACCCTATATTGTGGTCACCTGTCAAAAAACCTCATTTTGTACTATGTTTGGACTTCTCTGTTCTGGGCTATTCTAATTTCGAAATGTTTTCTACAAGTGAAAAGCTTCAACATTTGTGGGTATGTGTCAATTTTTTGTATGATTATATGTTCAAAATAAAGTTGAAGTGTTTTTTTGTATGATTATATGTGATTAATTGGAAATAATTCGTTTTTTTCAGTTTCGGAGGTTAATTTTGGTTAATTGCAATTTTTTTTATAGTAGTACGGATTGGAAATAATTCGTTTTGCTTTGATTTTCTATAATTATATGTGATTAATTCCAATTAACCACTGAAATCGAAGCAAAACGAATTATTTCCAAATAATCACATATAATCATACAAAAAACACTTTAACTTTATTTTGAACATATAATCATACAAACAATTGGCGCATATCCATAAATGTTTGAGCTATTCACCGGTAGAACGTATTTTTCAAAGTTGGAGTAGTCTGGAATGGAGAAGTCCAAAACATAATACGAAATGAATGCTTGAACTGGGGGACTAGAGTACCAAGCCGGATTTGACACGTTTAATAACACGGTCCGAAATGTATACATTGTTGACTAAGTGGTTATTTAAAAAAAAAGGTGGTTATTTTTTTTAAATACAATAAATAATGGTTAGACTACTGAATTTCCCTATAAAAAAAAGTAAAAAAAAATTAAAAATGTATTCGAACAAAACATCAAAAAAATTATTCGAACAAAATATATATAAAAAACATTAATAAATGTACTCGAATAAATGTCAAAAAATTTAAGAAATTTATTTGAACAAAAACATCAACAAATATAAGCGAAAAAAATATAAAAAAATTAACTTTATATTTGAACAAAACTTGAACAAAACGTCAAAATTTTAATTCATAAAAGTAAAATAAAATAATAGATAATAAATAATAAATAATAGACAAAATTACACAAACGGTCCCTATGGCATGAACAAATTAGATAAACCGTCTATATGACAGGAAGGGCATATATGTCATTTCACGAAGGGCTTAACTGGAAAAGGTAACATTGTTAGTTAAAAGGACCATCTTTGCAACATTTTGAAACCACAAAGACCATTTATGCAAACAATTCATCATAAGGACTAAAATTGGTCTATTTTGTAAACCCTAAGGACCATTTATGTAATTTTTTGAAGACTTTATAATTAATAATAATTACGATTTTATTGGAAAGGGTAAGCTATATCTTTCTATATCTATATACTATATTATTATAAAAGAAACATTTTTTTTAAAATTCTCATGACTTTTCAATTTCTTTATAATAATGATTATATTA